ACTCTAGAGACAACTAACTAGCACCTTTGCACTAATAATTCCCTCTGGGGGTTAATCACTAGTCTCCACCTTATGTATCTGTGTTGTGTCCTTTTTTTTCTGACCTGCAAATGATTATCATGTATATACACAGAGGCAAAAAGATAAATATATATTCAGAATCTAACTGTGTCTACGTATTTTTGAAGAGGCCATTCCTCAGCTAGAACTGGTAGGTTTAAATAGCAGTTCTATAACACAGGGAAAGTGTATACTTTAATAAAGGAGGAGACTTTGTATACGAAACCTAGGATATAATGAAAACCAGATTATTCTGATCATGAAGGCAATGGTAAAATACAACTTGGGTCAGATAGCATCTGGACAAATTTACCCAGTTTTAATAAATAGAAAGCCAGTCAGTGATGGATAAAAGACACTGAGAACCTGATCTAAGGGGTCAGATTTATATTTTGAGTTTGTATTTTGAGAACATAAATTTGAGTTTGTTTATTGTTTAACTACTATTGGATAAAAAGACAAAATGATTTACAATATGGTAAAATAACAAAAAATTAGTTTCATCCTGCCTACATTTAATATCTTTGACAAGTCCAAAATGTAGTCTAATAAAAATCACATATCAAGAAAATGGAACACATTGATTTATTTTATTTTATGTTCATTTAATTCTTCATGCTTTTATGTTCCTGCATTGGGTATTTACTTCAACTGAGAAAACACTTATGGAATTCTAAATTAAATGTGATTAATTTAAATCAATATTTAAAACATTTCCCCTCAAGTCTTCATTTATTTTCCTGAAGTAACAAACCTTCTATTCAATATGATTGTCCAGTTATACTGCTAATATATTTGTTTTCATGATTTTGTAACCCAAGGACTGTTTCCAATGTTTCTAAACTTACCACCCTTTTCTACCTACATTTATAACAACTACATACTTTAATATTTTGAACTTGATCAATTCATGGGAAAAGAGTTATTTGAGCATGTAAAATGTTGGAACTTTTTCTACCAGCTGTATAAGCTTATTTTTTAATATACTGGTTATTTTGGCAGAAAATCTGATTGTTCACATGTCAAACATTTTTTGTGATAAGTGAATATTACACCTGGGTTATCTGATTCATACACAGCTTAACACTCTGAGGACAAATAATCATTAAAAAAATTCAAGATCCATAGAAACTTCACAGTCTTTTTTTTTTCAACAAAAGAGCTTCCAGTTACATATCTCCACATACATTAAGTGCTGTTATGAAAATGTGTAGAAAGGCTTTATTACTGAATATAGACACAGAATATTAAACATAGTTTTCTTTTTTCAAGTTTGCACCACAGTTGGACTAGTAATTTTTATTCATTTAGTCACATAAACAGCACAGAATGAACTAGGCTCTCCAGTCACAGGCAACCATCCCATTCTCAGAAATTTCTGCTAGAGAAAAACCAGACCTTGCTTCATTGAGCATTATGCAATTACTTTTTCGTTCATTTTCAGTTCAATATTAATTGTATAAATACATACCACTCAAAAACTTTAATTTTTTCCTGTGAGTTTTAAACTGTGCCTCAAGTTAGCAATAACTGTATAATTTTTCTGATTCTAACTTACTTTTACCTGTCTGAGTAGATGAGTAAGTATTTTAAAAATATTTCACATTTGATCATATGTAAAAATTGTCAAAATGAATTATTTTGTCTCATAACATATTTGAATCATGTTTATGTGGATTTAGATGGATATATTTTATATATATGCTTACAAAATTTTTAAAAAGCATAAATTAATAAATATAATTTTTGCTTTTAATGTGCCAATTTTACATAATAAACTATAAAAATTACTTTTAGGATTCTCCTGAAGGTTTTCTTCTGTTAGTGTTTTGAGACCGAGGACTGCATAATCTTGATAATTTCATAACTATTATGTAGACTCAATTATTGCATTAAATATAATACCAATGATGATGACAATGAATCTTTTAAAGAAGACAGCCTAGGTAATTTTATCACTTATATTTAATAAAGAAAAGCATTTTCATTAAGACTAAGTCTACTTTACGAAATCTTGCATAGTAAATATCCTCCTGTGGTCCTTATTGGTTTGAGTATCCTCACAATCACCAGAAAATGAGATAATGTTAAAGATAAAATTTGGGGAATGCACATAGGTATTTAGCACCTATGTGGAATCAGATAACACAAATATAGCTCAAAATCCTTCAAGTTAGGCTTTAACAGTATGTGAACCAATAACCTCTAAATGTACAACCTGGATTTCGGAAAGGCAGATGAACCGGAGATTAAATTGCCAACACACATTCGATCATAGAAAAAGAAAGGGAATTCCAGAAAAACATCTACTTCTTCTTCATTGACTATGCTAAAGCCTCTGCCTGTGTGGATCACAACAATCTGTGGAAAATTCTTAAAGAGATGGAAATACCAGACCATCTTACCTGTCTCCTGTGAAACCTATATGCAGATCAAGAAACAACAATTAAACTGGACAGGGAACAATGGACTGGTTCAAACTTGGAAAAGGACTACATCAAGGCTGCATATTGTCACCCTGCTTATTTAACTTATATGTAGAGTACATCATGCAACATGCCAGGCTGGAAGAAGCACATGCTTGAATCAAGATAGCTGGGAGAATTATTAATAACCTCAGATATGCCAGTGACACCATCCTAGTGGCAGAAAGTGCAGAGGAACTAAACAACCTCTTGATTAAGGTAAAGAGGAAAGTGAAAAAGCTGAATTAAAGCTCAACATTCAAAAAATGAAGATTATGGCATTTGGTCCCATCACCTCACAGCCAATACTTGGGGGAAAAAAATGGAAACAGTGACAGACTTTATTTTCTTGGGTTCCAAATCAAGGCAGGTGGTGACTGCAGCCATGAAATTAAAAGATGCTTATTCCTTGGAAGAAAAGCTCTGACAAACTTAGATAGCGTATTACAAAGCAGAGACATCACTTTGCCAACAAAGGTCTGTATAGTCAAAGCTATGGTTTTTCCAGTAGTCATGTATGGATGTGAGAGTTGGACCATAAAGAAGGCTAAGCACCAAAGAACTGCTGCTTTCAAACTATGGTGCTGGAGAAGACTGTTGCAAGTCCCTTGGATAGGAGATCAAACCAATCAACTCTGAATGTTCAGTGGAAGGATGGATGCTGGAGCTGAAGTTCCAATACTTTGGCCTCCTGATGTGAAGAGCCGACTCACTGGAAAAGACCCTGATGCTGGGAAAGATTGAGGGCAGGAGGAGAAGGGGACGACAAAGGATGAGATGGCTGGATGGCATCATTGATTCAATAGACATGAGTTTGAGCAAACTCTGGGGGAATTTGCAGTCCATGGAGTTGCAAAGAGTCGGACACAACTGAGCAACTGAAGAACAAAAACAACATGCTGCCCTTTAGAGTCATAACAATTTGAGAGGTTGAAGAGTAGATATTATTTTATTTCTACAGAAAATTAAATCAACCTTGAGAAGAGTTAAAGAGTATATTTCCCTAGTACATGTTAGCGCAGGACTAGAATTTGATTCTTGACTCTTGGTTCAGTGTTTTTTTTGTTTTTTCAAGTTTTGATAACTGGACGAAACAATAACTTCTCAATATTTCTTGAATTATAAAGAAAAAAAGGGAAATTCAGAGTAAATTTTCCACATTCTGTCCTTGTACCCTAGAACTAGAACTTGGTATAAGCATATATGTGTATATCTGTGATTCTGCACCTGTGTCTGTGCAGTTGGTATGTGCCATTAACAGTTTTTTAAAGGAAAAAAAGAAACAGGAAGATGGGGCCAAAAGATCTAAGTCAAAGAGAAAAGCAGACAAACCTAAGCCAACAGTTCCCACTCTTTTTTTTTGTGGAAAAACAGAGTACAAGTATCAAGGATATTTGAGCCAGGAATGATCAAGAGTCAGTCTGGACACAAGTTTGAAAAGTCAGAGGAAAGCAATCATCACAAAAAGGTAAGCATTTAGGAGCCAAGGGAAGAAATAAGCACTACTTATGGAAGATTTGATGATTGTTTAGAGATCATTTACACGGAGAATGTAAAGAGAGAAGAAAGAAAACTCCAGCCAGGAATCCAGCAACAAGAGAGTCGGAAATAGACAATAAGTAGAGGCTAAGAGTTTTATTCAGGAACCAAAGTATGAGACACAGAACACAAATGAAAAACAGAAAGAAAGAAAATGGAAGGAAAGAAGAAAGGGAAGGAAGGACAGACAGAAGAGAAGGAAAAAACAAAGGAAGAAAGAACCATCAACACAAATATTCATGTTCTTGTGCAGAAACTTCCTGGGAAGCGTATTTTATTAATATTTGGGGGAGGTAGGGACACATGACAGACTGTAGCCAGTTTTAGCCTCAAGAATAAGTTAAAGCATTTGGCAAATATATTTGACATAAAAGGGAAGGGTGAGAATATAGTATAGGTGAGAGAAGAAAATACTGTAACAATTTGCTGAGTGGGTATATAATTCAACTCATATGAACATATCTGAATATTTCAAATTGGGAAAGTGAAAAGGGTAAAAGATTTAATACTAGCTGCCAAAAAGTTACATGACTATATTCCAATCCACTTGAACTAACATATGACCAAAGACCATTTGATTATTACTTGATCCATTAAACTCAGGGTTCATAAATTCATGAACTCATGGTAAAAACAACAAATAAATGTGGAGAGAAAATCTATACCCACAAACTACATTTACAAAATTTTACAAGAAGTTTCCTTTTCGTGCCTTTCTGTTTGAAAATAAATGCAGTAATGTGAAAGTGTATACAAGTAATGTGCTTGCATTAGTCAATAAAATGTATTTTTCAGAAATATCTACCTTTTCTTTTTCTGTAGGAATCAAATACTACTTTTATATGCCCATACCTTCAAAACTGTCACAGATTAAATAATCACATTTTCTGGATTACCTTCATTTTAAAGACTTTCTGAAAATACATACACAACTTGATGAAAATGATGAATAGCTCAATGATATCTGAGTTTGTTTTGTTAGGACTCACCAACACTTGGGAACTTGAGCTTTTCTTTTTTTTCATATTTTTATTGGCCTATGCAGCGATTATGGCAGGAAACCTTCTCGTTGTGGTCACCATCACCTTGGACTCTCATCTGCACTCCACACCAATGTACTTCCTCCTTGGAAACCTCTCCTTTCTTGATATGTCTCTTTCTACAATCACAACCCCCAAGATGGTTACAGACTTTGTCAGGAAGAATAAAACTATTTCTCTATGGGGCTGTATGGCTCAGATGTTCTTCCTTCACTTTTTAGGGGGTAGTGAGATGACACTTCTCATAGTTATGGCGGTTGATCGGTACTTTGCAATCTGTAAACCTCTTCACTACACAACCATCATGAACCACCGGGTACTCAGAGGCTCTGTGCTGCTATCATGGGCTGTTGGCTTTGTGCATACAATGAGCCAGATGGTTTTTACCATCACCTTGCCCTTCTGTGGTCCCAATGTAGTGGACAATATTTTCTGTGACCTTCCGCCGGTTATAAAGCTTGCCTGCACTGAGACCTATGTTCTGGAGTTGTTAGTAATTGCTGACAGTGGACTATTGTCTTTCATCTCCTTCATACTCTTGCTCATTTCCTACATTGTCATTCTGGTAACCGTTCGACATCAATCCTCTGGTGGTCTCTCCAAGGCTCTGTCCACGCTATCTGCTCATATTACAGTGGTCACTCTGTTCTTTGGGCCGTGTATCTTCATTTATGCTTGGCCATTTAGTAGCTTTTCAGTGGATAAATTCCTTTCTGTGTTTTATTCAGTTATCACACCTTTACTGAACCCCATTATTTACACTCTGAGGAATCAGGAGATGAAAGCAGCCATGAATAGACTGAGGACCCAACACGTGAGCTCCAGAAAGACAACATGATGTCTTTCTAGGCAACAACCATGATGAAAAAGATTTCTAGACCAAAACCCATATATAGTACATCTTGGAATAAGTTGGTATTAATTTGTCTTTTTGTAGTTTTTTAAATATTCATAATGTATGTTAAACCTACCAAGTGCTCTATCATCATATCTCTATGATATATTTTGTTTTATTGGAAGAGAAATTTTTAATTGAATTCAGTTCAGCTGGGATGAAATTTCTTCAATAAAGAAATAATAAAGTGTGTAAGGTAAAAATAAAGTGTGTAGGACCTCCTCAAAAGTTAACAGCCAAGACAAGGAAGAAAATGAGCAGACCCAAAAAAGAACCTGATCCATCTACAAATTTGCTACATTATTATTAAAAAATAAAAAGTATAACAAGTTGTTAGTGGAATAATTATTTCTTTGGAATGACGGAAAATTCCCTCATATCATTTCTCAAAAAATTTCAACAGATTTGAGTTTAAATGTGACATTTTCAACCTTAATAAAATTTACAGTTAAAGTCACCTAGAACATATATGTTTGCCTAAATATAACATTTCTTAATGCTTATTTTAAAAATTAAAATAAATGACCCAATCAAAAAATGGGCCAAAGAACTGAACAGACATTTCTCCAAGGAAGACATACAGATGGCTAACAAACACATGAAAAGATGCTCAACATCACTCATTATCAGAGAAATGCAAATCAAAACCACAACGAGGTACCATTACACACCAGTCAGGATGGCTGCTATCCAAAAGTCTACAAGCAATAAATGCTGGAGAGGGTGTGGAGAAAAGGGAACCCTCTTACACTGTTGGTGGGAATGCAAATTAGTACAGCCACTATGGAGAACAGTGTGGAGATTTCTTAAAAAGCTGGAAATAGAACTGCCATATGACCCAGCAATCCCACTTCTGGGCATACACACCGAGGAAACCAGATCTGAAAGAGACACGTGCACCCCAATGTTCATCGCAACACTGTTTATAATAGCCAGGACATGGAAGCAACCTAGATGCCCATCAGCAGACGAATGGATGAGGAAGCTGTGGTACATATACACCATGGAATATTACTCAGCCATTAAAAAGAATTCATTAGAATCAGTTCTAATGAGATGGATGAAACTGGAGCCCATTATGCAGAGTGAAGAAAGCCAGAAAGATAAAGACCATTACAGTATACTAACACATATATATGGAATTTAGAAAAATGGTAACGATAACCCTATATGCAAAACAGAAAAAGAGACTCAGATGTATAGAACAGACTTGTGGACTCTGGGAGAAGGCGAGGGTGGGATGTTTCAAGAGAACAGCATCGAAACACGTATATTATCTAGGGTGAAACAGATCACCAGCCCAGGTTGGGTGCTCGGGCCTGGTGCACTGGGAAGACCCAGAGGGATCAGGTGGAGAGGGAGGTGGGAGGGGGGACCGGGATGGGGAATACATGTAAATCCATGGCTAATTCATTTCAATGTATGACAAAACCCACTGCAATGATGTAAAGTAATTAGCCTCCAACTAATAAAAATAAATGAAAAAAAAAATTAAACTACAACAAAAGAAAAAAAATCTATACAAAAATCCCACAATTCACAACTAGTGACAGCTTCCAAAACCCCCTTGATTATCTATTGTAGCCTTTAAAGGATTGTCAATTTGAGAATTGAAAAATGGTGTCTCAATTTCTGTAATGGCAAGTCTCTTTTAACAATCCCAGTTACTTTTTACTGCCAGTCTCTGAGGACTCTGAAACAATCAAGTGAGTTTTCTCCTTTATACCTCCTATTAAGAGATGCATTTATATACTGAGCAGTTTGAAGTCCAGAGCAGAAAATAAAATCACTGGATAATAACTGAGCATTCAGGATTTCATAGTGATGTTACTTCTAAAGCACAGGTGCACCTGGTAGGTTACATAATCCTGATGTGTTACTCTACCTACATATCACATCTATCATGTTAGTTCATTTATGATATAAATGTGTCTATAAATGATAAAATTCAAATGCCAAAATAATAACTGAGGTGAGGGTCGAAGAGTGAAATTGCACTGGAAAAAAACTTATTTTTATATAAGTGGAAAAAAAATAAAAATGACTCTAGTCATGTTTACTGGGAATTAAGGCAGTAATTCAGGCCAAAGAAATTATTCTTAGAGAAAGGGGTATGTTTTCAAGATATTTTAATTGTTTGGCTACCCTGATCAGATTAAATGAGTTTATTCTTTGAGGTACTACATAATATAGAGGAATTTGAATATTTGTTTCCAGGGATGCAATTATTTTTAAAGGGAGATAGATAACAAAACTGCAAGGATAAAATGCCTGATTCATGGCTTGGTCAATCATGGAGTTTCAACACATACAAAATATTGATGCTTCCATTACAGTGGTTCAGAATTATGGAGAGGAATATATGACAAACTATCCAGTGACAGCAGTCTGAAAATTGCCATATATTTAAACAAACAGTTTTACCAGTAATGTATGGATGTGAGAGTTGGACTATAAAGAAACCTGAGTTCCAAAGAATTGATGCTTTTGAACTGTGATGTTGGAGAAGACTCTTGAGAGTCCCTTGGACTGCAAGGAGATCCAACCAGTCCATCCTAGAGGAGATCAGTCCTGGGGGTGCATTGGAAGGACTGATGCTGAAGCTGAAACTCCAATACTTTGGCCACCTCATGTGAAGAGCTGACTCATTTGAAAAGACCCTGATGCTGAGAAAGATTGAGGGCAGGAGGAGAAGGAGACGACAGAGGCTGAGATGGTTGGATGGCATCACCAACTCAATGGACATGAGTTTGGGTAAACTCTGGGAGTTGCTGATGGACAGGGAGGCCTGGTGTGCTGAGGTTCATGGGGTTGAAAGAATCAGACAGAACCGAGTGACTGACCTGAACTGAAGTGAACTGAGTTTGTAAAAAAAAAAAAAAGAGAGAAGAATCAAAAGGATGTGATGTTTGCCAAGAAAATGAGCACCTTCAAATCTACTTATTTGCATACTTCAGAGAAACACAGAAGATCCAGTGGCTATAGCTTAGATAAAATCATTGTCTTGCATTAAGAGTACAAAGCACAAAGAAGGAATGTTGATTCACATAATAAAAATTTCCATTTTCTATCTGACTACCACCTGAAAGAAAGAAGTAATGGTGTCAAACATAATGGTTAGAGTATGGCCAAGTATCAAATGTGTGTCTTACTGATAGTAATCTGACATACCTAAGTGCATATAATGTTCATCATGGTCAACTGGATATACTGAGTCTCCAAAAACTATACTGTGTGATTAACAGGTTGAAGGTCCACAAATAATCAAATATTTCCTATTTTATTCTCTCATTTGGCATTAGGTCTGACTCTAGGCTCTGAAGAAGGCAATTAAAGCACTAGAGATGATCATTGAGCCTGTAACTAAACTTGAACAATAGAGCTAAAGTCAGATAAACAGCAGAGGCAATGAAATAAGTGAATTTATGTAGATGAAATATTCACTTTTCCTCTTATTATTTATTTTTTTAAATAATTTACCTGAGCAGGGTCCACCTCAGTCAGCACCACATATCTATTTCTGTCTATCCTTGACCAAGTTAAAGGTTAAAGGAAACTTAAGGAAAATCAATGAGAGGAAACAGGTCCAAAGGTGAGAAGTAACTATCCAAAGATGCTACTCTGTTCAAACAGTTCATCATACTTTTAGTTTGTTTGTTTAGATGCACAATGGGAAACAATTCAGTCACCCTGCTCCTTACATCTCTTTGAGTGAAAAGTTGAACAGGACTACCTTAGTTACATCACTAGCTCGTTGTCTTAGTGACAGCATTTTTGGTATTTCTACATACTCACTGTATTAATGAAAATATGTGCATTAAAAGCAAATATCAGATAAAAGTGGTCATGGATTTTGCAACACTTGCCTGCCAATGCAGGAGATGCAGTTGATACCCCTGAGTCAGAAAGATGCTCTGGAGGAAGACAAAGCAACCCACTCCAGTGTTCTTGCCTGGCAGGCTACAGTCCACAGGGTCGCACAGAGTTGAACACAACTGAAGTGACAGCATGCAGCATGCAGGGTAAGAATGCACAGATAGATACATTTATTTGCATAGCCACATAAAGGGAAGAGTTAGGAAAACAGGTGAAATGAGAATCTGCACTTTTGAGAGTTAATCTGGTGTTTCAGGTGTAAATGAATAGGGTTTGATCTCAGTAAACCATGCAGCTGTCTCAATACTTAACTTTCTATCAACAATACATGTCTTTAATCAATCTACTTCAGGAAGCATAATGCACATAATGTAGTTTTGGCAATAATTTTTATTTATTTTATAGAGTTCTTTACTATCCTGATAATGTTTATGGGATGAGTAGACCAGTAGT